TGAGGTAAACTGGCACTTGTCTCTCCTTGACCAAGGATGCTTTCCTGGACTGGGATGTTCTTTCAGCAAGTTAGTTTAAAGGAATCTAAATTTTCCAGTGAAAAAAAAACTCTTTGTCCCTGGAGGCTCATCATCTTTGTTGGTTTTGTTTATAAAAGTATTCTGAAAGAAGAACGCTTGCCTTGCCGCAGGGATACAAACTGGGAGTACCAGACTTCTGTTTGGCCTCTCTTTTCCTCCTGCAAAGGGAGTCTCTGTGAAGCCATCACTGACTTCACTGAAGTCTCTGTCAGGCAGCTGAATATACAAGATCATTGAAAAATTGAGTCCCTGGCCAGGAACCCAAAACACAGGCCTGTGTCACACTAAAAGTCCATTAATCACAGTAGAATTCGAACCCATAAAAGCGTTGTCCCTGTGTCTCTGAACCCAGATAGAGGCATACAAAAATTGTTAAACCCGTAGCAGTGTGTATTGTGTGACGTGGTGGTGACACGGCCAGCAAAGTGTGTAAGTATTTAAATGAGGAAGGGAGCAGGTGTGAACTCAGACACGTGTGGCGGATTTTGGGGAGCTCCCGAGTGTAGACGGTGCGTGGTAAAGAGCCAAGGCCACCGCGGACCGCGGCCAGCAGCGCTCGCTGGTCTGTGCCCCACAGCCAGCTGGGGACACGCATCGGGAGACCAGCGGTTGCGTTTGTGTGGTGGGAGATGGTGAGAAGGTGCGGGCACAGGCCACCAGCAATCAGCGTGGGCTTAACGAGCGCAGCCAGTCTTGGTTTAGAGCTTGTAACGTGGCCTGATCCGTCCGCCTTCTGAACGCTGCCATCGCTGCCACCTCCTGTCCCCCGGCCGATGGATGCATGGACGGATGTGCTTTCATAGCTGTAAATACAGAGAGTTATTCCTTTGCAACAATCTGTTGTAAAAGCCCATCTTCTTCCCGGGAAGAAGAAGGTAGACAAAGACCCTTCCAATTAGGTAGACAAAAAGGTTGATTATTTTACAGTTGGGCTGTAAGGAATGAGGTTCGCACTCCTTCCTTTATATTTCTGTATGTTATTAGCAAAGTTGCACTTTGTACTCTCCCATGAGGTTTTAAGTGGAAGTTTAACATGGCATTTTTTAATATTTTACTGAAAGATTGAATGATTGGGCTGCATCCAAGGAGTAAATTAAATTGTGGCCTGGCAGCCAAATCGAGTACCTGGTCTTGAAAAACGAATTAAAATGTTGATACCTGAAGCCAAAAGAAAAAAAAGATGCACAAGGGACGTTTTCTTTTGTTTTCTTTTTTTTTTTTTTGGTTTTAATCAAATACATTTCTTCAAACTGCTGATTGCAAGGCAGAGACTGCATTTCATCTTTGATGTAAAAATAACCGGTTGTATATTTTAGTTAAAGAGTAGCTGCACACCTCCTGGAGAACTGCTGCCTAATATTTGTTTTGAACAGACTGCAAAATACTACATCAAATTTGCATGCACTGCCTCATTGTATTTTAAGGGAATCTTTTTTTTTTTTTTTTCCTAAATAA